GGGGCTGGAGGCAGGGGCTGTGTGGGGCTGGAGGCAGAGGCTGTGCGGGGCTGGAGGCAGAGGCTGTGCGGAGCTGGAGGCAGAGTGTTGTGCGGAGCTGGAGGCAGGGGCTGTGCGGGGCTGGAGGCAGAGTGTTGTGCGGGGCTGGAGGCAGAGTGTTGTGCGGGGCTGGAGGCAGAGTGTTGTGCGGAGCTGGAGGCAGAGTGTTGTGCGGGGCTGGAGGCAGGGGCTGTGCGGGGCTGGAGGCAGAGTGTTGTGCGGGGCTGGAGGCAGAGTGTTGTGCGGGGCTGGAGGCAGAGTGTTGTGCGGGGCTGGAGGCAGAGGCTGTGCGGGGCTGGAGGCAGAGTGTTGTGTGGGGCTGGAGGCAGAGTGTTGTGCGGGGCTGGAGGCAGAGTGTTGTGCGGGGCTGGAGGCAGAGTGTTGTGCGGGGCTGGAGGCAGAGGCTGTGCGGGGCTGGAGGCAGAGTGTTGTGCGGAGCTGGAGGCAGGGGCTGTGCAGGGCTGGAGGCAGGGGCTGTGCGGGGCTGGAGGCAGAGTGTTGTGCGGGGCTGGAGGCAGAGTGTTGTGCGGGGCTGGAGGCAGAGGCTGTGCGGGGCTGGAGGCAGAGGCTGTGCGGAGCTGGAGGCAGTGTGTTGTGCGGGGCTGGAGGCAGTGTGTTGTGTGGGGCTGGAGACAGAGGCTGTGCAGGGCTGGAGGCAGAGCGCTGGCCTAGGGTCAGGAGAACAGGGCAGTTCCTTAGCTGCCGGATCACACTGTGGATCCTGAGCAAATCCATTCTGCTCTGAGTCTGCATTTTCCCATCCACAGTGGGTTAGAGAGTCACTCCAAGGAATTTGTGCGTATTCCTTTGTTCTTTGTACTCTCGTGGCCAGATGGCTAGTAAAGTACCCTTCCTGCAGTCCAGGAGGTAAAAACTGCATTGCTGAGAGATCCTTTGTCTCAGTGCTAATTTTTCACTCTGCATGAGTGTACAGTGAAAGGAATACACAGAAACTTATATCCAAGTCCTAATTTCCCTCACCTGTGAATGTGAGCTTATTTGAAAACAGGGTCTTTGCTATGTAATTGAGGATCTAGAGATGGAATCATCTGGGATTTAAGAACAAATCCAGGCTGGTTGCAGTGGCTCAAGCCTGTAATCCCAGCACTTTGGGAGGCTGAGGTGGGTGGATCATGAGGTCAAGAGATCGAGACCGTCCTGGTCAACATGGTGAAACCCCATCTCTACTGAAAATACAAAAAAATTAGCTGGGCACGGTGGTGCACGCCTGTAGTCCCAGCTACTTGGGAGGCTGAGGCAGGAGAGTTGCTTGAACGCAGGAGGCAGAGGTTGTGGTGAGCCAAGATCGCGCCATTGCACGATCTGGGTAACAAGAGCGAAACTCTGTTTCAAAAAAAAAAAAAAAGAACAAATCCAACTATGGTTTCCTTAAAAGAGACAGAAAAGGAGAGCACATGGAGACACACAGGTAGGGGGCCATGTGAAGACAGGGGTAGGGCCTGCCAACGCCCTGCAAGCTAAGAATTGCCGGGAGCTGCCAAACTCTGAGAGGCATGGAACACATCCTCCCTCGGAGCCTCCAGCAGGAACCAACCCTGCCACACCTCGACTTCAGACTTTTGGCCTCCATACCTCTGAGAGAATAAGTCTCTGTTGTTCTAAGCCATGAAGCTGTGGTCTTTTGTGACAGCATCCCTGGAGAATGAATGCACTGCTTCTGAGAGCATCCATGGGGTCGAGAAGCCTCCTGTTGGGTAGAGGAGCAACTAAGATACTGTACTTGGCTCTCACCCTGTGGCTCCCAGGTGAGTGGAGAAGCCAAAACCTGTACCAAATCACTGCATTTCCAGCTCCAGCTTGATGCACTATTGGAAATGGATGTCAGTGCCACAAAGAAAAATCAACACTGAGACAAAGGATCTTTCAGCAACGCAATGTTTACTTCCTGGACTGCAGAAGGGTACTCCTGCTAGCCATGTTGCCACGAGAGTACAAAGAACAAAGGGATACACACAAATTTATTCCTTACGCATTTGGGGTGGTCCTTACTGCTGTGTCTGATCTCCGTTGGCTGGAGCCAGACCTCACAATCTAAACTAAAACCCAATTGGCTAACAACTTAAAACTTTTCTAAATGGGTAAAAGCAATGGAGAGCTGGGACATGCCTGTGAGCACAACCAGCACAGATATCTTGGTTAAAGTACAAGGACAAAGAATGTACTATGTGCCTGTAAGTATGGCGTGTCTAACAGCTACATAGGATGGGGTTTCACAGAGTTATCAGCACACTTACTCTTTAACAAGAAAGGAAACTTTAAAAAGGAACTTCCCACATGCACCTTCCCACATGTACCTTCTGCTCGTAGAACCCAGGCTTCCCAGGCTGGAGTGGCCTGATTGCCTTAGGGTAGGGTGAGAGGATGGAAACTCAAACCACAGGGAAGGATGAGCCCCTCAGGAACTGCAGGGAACAGAGCAGGGTAGGTGGGATGTCAGCCCTGGCAGGGCCACCCCCAGGAAGCTCAGATCCCGCCTTGGGACAGGGAACAAGGTTAAGATCTCATCTGAGCCAGCATCTTTTCTAAGGATTACATTGGCTCTGCAGAGGGGCTCCTGGGCTGCAGGAGTTTCAGCTTGGGAGGTGCCCACGTGCAAATCAAACGATCTGCCCAGGTGAGAGCAAGGGCTGCTGAGAGCCTCAGCCTAGTGCTTTGCAGGACTCAGGAGGGGATTAAGAACGCGTGGGAACAAGGAGCCACACAAACCAAGCAGGTGAGGTTGTGGCAGGGTTGTCAGAGCCTCCATTTCTTCACCTGAAAATGGACTTAGCAAACCTTGTCTTGCAAGGGCTTTATGAAATGAAATGAGCTACTGTGTGCATAGAGCGATTGTTGTACCGTTTGGCCAAAGCTTTGTTATTGAAAGCATTGCTTTCCTTATGGGCTTGAATTGCAAGTGAGTTCCAGAGGAGAAGTTAACATTCTTCCAGAATATATGCCCAGTGTCTTCAACTTGAGATGGAACTGGGATGCCAAATCTGCAAACGTGGGCTTTGGGCTTGGACAAGCCTGGGTTTGCATTCCAGCTCTGCCCTTTGCTGGGACTGAGCCCTGGGAAAAATGGCCCTCTCTGAACTTTCCCCGACTGCATCCATAAATGAGACACAGTATCAATGCCAGGTGTGAGCATGCATGCTGCTCACATAGTTTAATGATATTTATTCAGATCATTAAATGCCTACTATGTGCCAACAAAACACCTACTATGTGCCAACACCTACTATGTGCAGTAAATGTGGCCAGGAGCACAGACAGCAGGCAGTGAGAGGGAGGGAAGAGAGTCTGCTTCTTGAGATGAAGGGGCAGCAGAATGAGACCCCATCTCTTTAACAAAGAGTGGGAGGGCCCACCCTGGCTGCTTAGGGACCCCCTGGCTAGGGGGCTGTGCCCACAGCCCCCGCCAGAGGGCCCGTAGCAGCCCCCAGGCCCACCCTGGCTGTTAGGGACCGGCTATTTTGAAAATGTGGTGTAATATGATACTGGGAACCATATCATAGGGAGATGATAATGTTATTCTGTTTTTTTTTTAATATATTAGGCACTAGCTCTGGTTACACCTCTGCCATATTGACAAAAATGTCATCCTCACCCCCCATTGACATTAGAATTGAAAGCACAGGGGGGTTTCACCCCTTGCAATGTTTAATTCTATGTAATTGTTTTCTTGTAGACATTAGTGACCATATCAGAGCGTGGTGTACCCCTCTTGCCGTATTCCGAGTGTTTCCATATGGGCAGTAACATTCTCCTCTCCTTCCCTGGATATTAGAAACAATACACAGGACCGCTGTACAGCTCCTGTCACATCGTGAGTAATATCATCTGTAATCCCCTAGTTATTAGGAACAATATCACTGGGGGCTTGTGCGCTTCCTGTGATATTTGGAGTAATGTCCTTTCTGTTTTTGGACATTGAAAATAATATTACAATGGTGGTGTACACTTCCTGCGATATTGAGTGTATAATCATCCTCTCTCCACAGGATATTAGGAACTATATCACAGAAGCATTGTACACCCCCTGTAATATTGGAACAATCACGGAGTGTACACTTGCTTTCACAGTGAGAGTAATACCTACTTAGGACATGATGGATAATAGCACAAAATGTACACACATGGGTGTATACCCACTTTTATATTAGGAGTAGTTTTTATCTAATATACTAAAAATAATATCCTGGAATATACTCATAATGTGTATGTTTATTGGAATATTACAATAAATGTATATAATATATACCATATGTACATTGTGATGTACATATGTGTACAAAATACATATGTACAATAAATGTACATAATCTGTACGATATGTACATTTATATGTACATAGTGTGTACTATATGTACATTTATTGTAATATCACAATGATACCATATATGTAATCACAATAATATATATGTAATAAGTAATATCACAGTAAATGTACAGATTGTACACATTATGTACATATAATTTCTTTTGGTATTACAATATGTAAATGTGTACATAATATATGTATTATGTACATATTTACCGTATATACACGTGTACATATGTGTGCACATTATGTACATCATGTACAGACGCACCATATATACACGTGTACAAAATGTGTACATTACGTAGAGACGTACAATATGTACGCATTTACATGATGTTTACATTATGTACAGATGTACATATAGTTGCACATTGTGTACATATGTACAATATGTACACATGTACATGTAGGTGCACATTATGTGCATATGCACAGCCCCCTAGCCCAGTGAGCAAGAGGACGCTGCATTGCCCTAGTTGCCAGCAGGGGGCATCTTGCCACTACAGTGTGAGCAAGAGGGCCCTGCAGTGGTCCGCCACCAGGAGGGGGCGCCCAAGCCCTAGTCGCCAGAAGAGGGCGGAGGCACATCACCGGGAGCAAGAGGACCCTGCACTGCCCGGCCGCCAGCAGGGGGCGCCCGAGCCCGCCTTTTCAGATGGCGTCACGGTACCGGCGTGCATTGCATCTCGGTGGTCTGCGGAGTTTCATTGTCCTCATTGCAGACCTGGGGGGCACTGCGAGGGCGGAGCTGTATTCTCCGCAGCATTGACCTAGTGGGCAAAGCCTCACTTTGGGACAACTCTGGGCGGCGTCCACAGTGAGTAAAATCTTTCCTGTTTGCAGCCTGACTACTTAGGGTCAGAGACTAGTAAGATCTCGGTGTGGAAACCTGGACACCAAAAGCCCCTCTGAATCCTGAGCACCGAGGTTCTCCCAAGCCAAGGCCACGCGGCTGCAGTGCGAGGTGCACACCGCAGCCTCAGAATACAAACGGAGCGTTCCTAAGGCGGAAATGACATCCGAAATGCGAATACAACACCTGCAGTGCTCATGTAGAAAACAGCTGTGATGCTAATGCAGGGCCTCAGGCCACAGTGTTACTATAAAATCCGCACTGCTCATGCAGCCGGGCTGATACAGCAGTTTGAATTGTCAACACTGACATGTCAGTGCAAACGCAGAAACTAACGTATGGTTAGGGCTTAGGGTGAGGATTAGGGCTAGGGCTTAGGGTTAGAGTTGGGGGTTACCGGTTAGGCGTTAGGATTTAGGGGTTAGAAGAATTTTAGGCAAAATAAACAGTTTATTTAATCAAAGGAATGATTCGTGAATCACACCTGAAGCACCAGAATAGAGAGCAGGGCGTGGGGCTTCGGGCTCTTAGAGATGGCTGCTAAGTGAGGTTTCTCCTTGGCTCCAGCCAGGCGACCGCCTGTTGTGGGGATGGTTCCCTCAGCCAACTGGCGGCTGGGCTTATTGTCATTGGCTGGTTGGTTTGCTAATGTTTTGAAGTCAGTTTTTGTTTTGTTTTGTTTTGTTTTTTTGAGACGGAGTTTCGCTCTTGTTACCCAGGCTGGAGTGCAATGGTGCGATCTCGGCTCACCGCAACCTCCGCCTCCTGGGTTCAGGCAATTCTCCTGCCTCAGCCTCCTGAGTAGCTGGGATTACAGGCACGCGCCACCATGCCCAGCTAATATTTTGTATTTTTTTTTTTAATAGAGACCAGGATGGTCTCGATCTCTTGACCTCGTGATCCACCCGTCTCGGCCTCCCAAAGTGCTGGGATTTCAGCCTTGAGTTGAAGTCAGTTTTATGCCTCCAATTCGGTTTCCGTTTGCTTTGCAAAACCTCAGGCTAACGGCTTCCTCCTGTTTTGCTTTAACATGTCAAAACCATAATTCATTTTCATTGGACTTTACTGGCATTAATAGAAGTAAATTCACATTTTTGGTGTTCAGAAAGTCAGTTTAATTGGCAATCTATTTGTGATGGTGCATAAAATAACGTCTGTTAGTCAGCATCTTAGATAGATGAAATATATTAACTCTTATTAAGCTTTGTTATTAAACCATAACGGGAGTTGAGTTTCTTTTTTTCTTTTTCTCTCCTAGGCTTTAATCATTTAAAATACACTCAAGCATCTCCTAATGATGTGAATTCTTTCTGAGAAATTTTCCTTGGTGATTTCATCCTTGTCCGAACACCGTAGAGTGTCCTTTTAAATCCTAGCTGGTGTAGCCCACTCCACACATAAGTTATATGGTGTAACCTATTGCTCCCATGCTACAAACCTGTATGGCACGTCTCTGTACTGAGTGCTGTAGTCAACTGTCACACCATGGTGACTGTGGATTGTGATCCCAAAATATCTGAGTCAGGTCTCAGCCAATTTAGAACGCTTCTTTTGCCAAGGTTAAGGACATGCCCGTGACACAGCCTCAGGAGATCCTGACCACATGGGCCCGAGGTGGTCAGGGTAAAGCTTGCTTTTATGCATTTTAGAGAGACAGGAGACAACAATCTATATGTGTAAGATGTACAGTTGTTTGGTTCAGTAAGGTGGAGCAACCGGAAGTAGGAAATGGGGATGCTTCTGGGTCAGAAGTAGATAAAACAAAAGGTCGCATCCTTTTGAATCCTTGATCAGCCTTCCGCTGAATACAATTTAGTCTGATTCAGTGAATCTGCATTTTTACACATACAGTAGGGCAGAGGAATGGTGTGATCTTGGCCCACCACAACCTCTGCCTCCCAGGTTCAAGCGATTGTCTTTCCTCCCGAGCAGCTGGGATTACAGGCATGCACCAGCATGCCTGGGTAACTTTTGTATTTTTAGTAGAGATGGACATACACCATGCCCAGCCTACTATCGGTATAGTTGCTGTGGTTGAGTATCTGTTCAGATATTTACCCAGTTTTAAAATCACATATGGCAGAGTGAGTGTTTACACTGGCGGCTGTGCGGCCGGGTTCCTTCCACGGCATGGGGAGAAAGAGAGAGCGCGAAAGAGGATGTCTCTCTCAGACTGGCACCTGGTGGTGAAGCTGGCTGCCCAGCCACTTGCTCCAAAGTCTATCCTTCGATTGCCAGAGACAGAACTGGGAGAATACTCGATAGGGGGCTATAGTGTTTCATTTCTGAAGCAGCTTATTGCTGGCAAGCTCCAGGAGTCTGTTCCAGACCCTGAACCGATTGATCTGATCTACTGTGGTCGGAAGCTAAAAGATGACCAGACACTTGACTTCTATGGCATTCAACCCGGGTCCACTGTCCACGTTCTGCGAAAGTCCTGGCCCGAACCTGATCAAAAACCGGAACCTGTGGACAAAGTGGCTGCCATGAGAGAGTTCCGGGTACCGCACACTGCCCTGCGCAGCAGCTCCTCTTACAGGGAGGCGGTCCTTAACATGCTCAGCAATAAGGAATCTCTGAATCAGATCATTGTGGCCACCCCAGGCCTCAGCAGTGAGCCCATTGCTCTTGGGATTCTCCAAGACAAGGACCTCTTCTCTGTCTACGCTGATCCCAATATGCTTGATACGTTGGTGCCTGCTCACCCAGCCCTCGTCAATGCCATTGTCCTGGTTCTGCACTCAGTAGCAGGCAGTGCCCCAATGCCAGGAACTGACTCCTCTTCCCGGAGCATGTCCTCCGGCTCATATAGGGATATGCCAGGTGGCTTCCTGTTTGAAGGGCTCTCAGATGATGAGGACGACTTTCACCCAAGCACCAGGTCCACACCCTCCAGCAGCACCCCCAGCTCCCGCCCAGCCTCCCTGGGGTACAGCAGAGCTGCTGGGCCCCGGCCCATCACCCAGAGTGAGCTGGCAACTGCCCTGGCCCTGGCCAGCACTCCGGAGAGCAGTTCTCACACACCGACTCCTGGCACCCAGGGCCATTCCTCAGGGACCTCTCCAGTGTCCTCTGGTGTCCAGTCAGGGACACCCATCACTAATGATCTCTTCAGCCAAGCCCTACAGCATGCCTTGCAGGCCTCTGGGCAGCCCAGCCTCCAGAGCCAGTGGCAGCCCCAGCTGTAGCAGGTACGCAACATGGGCATCCAGGACGATGAGCTGAGCCTGCGGGCCCTGCAGGCCACCGGCGGGGACATCCAAGCGGCCCTGGAGCTCATCTTTGCTGGAGGAGCCCCATGAACTCCCTGCTTCCCCCAAACCCCCAGCAAGTTGTAGAGGCTGCTGCCCACGGGAGGCACTCATGAAGGTGCCTCCATCTCTCCTTCCCCAATATACCTGATGGTCAACTAAAAAAATAATAATAAAAAAAATAAAATCACATATGTATTGTGTAAATATCTTCTCACATCTGTCTTGTCTTTCTGTTTTATCTACAGTTTTTCACAGTAGAATATGTAGTTTTATAAAGTCTGTTATCAATATTTTCACGAATTGGCATTTGATGCTGTGTATTAAAACTCAACACCAAACCCAATGTCATCTAGATTTTCTTTTAGATTTTTTATAGTTTTGTATTTCATATTAATGTCTCTGGATTATTTTGAGTAGGTTTTTGTTTTTCTTATTTTGTGTATATACTCATTTCATTCTACATGGCTTCCAAAATCTTCCATCACCATTTTTGGGAAGGATATGGCTACAGTGGGCTTCATTTTGGCTTGAGTTTCCAAAATTGTTACATTGAATAAACTGAATACTGAATTTTATAGGTATTTCAGGACAGCCAGGTGGGGGTTCACATCTGCTGAGAAACTGAGCAAGAGTGTCTGGGCTGAGCTCTGGTGCCACCAGAGGGCACTTGAACCCACCCCTGACCAACTTTCCTCTGAGGTGCCAGGGCAGCATGAAGGTTGTGTCAACTAAGTCTTGTTCATTGGTGAGTAAAAGGCTGCCTTTCCACAGCCCCGAGTGCAGAGAAGAGCGTCTTTAGAGTACTCAGCAAAGGAAGAAATTCATCTAGAAAAATGAAATCCCCAAATCCCATGCTTACAACTACACCCTGATATCATTGTCAACGTCCCAGACACAGTGGCTGCTAAGATGAATTCTCCCAGTGGCCTCTAATACAATAATCACACCATGCCCTAACATTACTGTGATATCCATACGTGCCCTAACACCAATATAATACCCACACCATACACCAACGCTCATCTATTATCCACACTGTTGCTTCTAATACTAATGTGATACTATCCACATGGTGACCTAATGCTAATGTAATATCTGCCCTGTCCTCCAACACCAATATAATATGTACGCCATGCCCTAACACTAACACCCACCCCGCTCCGTAACACTAAGGTATCCACACAGTAGCCTCTAATACTAATAAAAATAGTATCTACTAAGTGGAGTCTGCTGACATTGAGGCTTTTTAAGGGTTCACAGCTTTGGATGAAGCGTAGCCTCTATAGTGGATTTTGGTGATGTCTCTGCTTTTCTGCCATAGCATTGATATGGTTGTTTTAAAAAGTAATTTCCTTTTTAATAATGTCATACTTCTAGGAAACTTGCGGTAGCAGTGCAAAATTTAACCTGTTTCTTTTCTTAGAGTCCTCAGCAGTTATTGCTCTACCAGATTTGCAGTGTCCCACAAAATACTCCGGTATATTTTCCCCAAAGCGTGGACACTCTCCTAGGTTACCACCACATAACCCCTAGATCAGGAAATCAGCACAGTTCCTGCATGATAATTCAGTTTACAAACTCATTTCACTTTTACCTCCTGCCCCACCTGGGAGTATAATGTGTTTTTTCATTCTGATTCAGTTTTCCTGACACTCTTCCCAAGACTTTCCCGCATATTTATGATCTTGACACATTTCAAGAGCATACAAGTTTTTGTTTTAACACCTGTTTTCAGGTCTTTGGGGCATATAGCTAGGAAGGGAACCACTGAGTCATACAGTAAATCTACTTGCAACCATTTGAAGAAACACCAAATTATTTGACACATATGCTGCACCATTTCATATTGTCACGAGCGGTGTTTAACAGTTCAGGTTTCCACACAGCTTTGTCAACACTTGTTCTAATGTGAGTTAAGGGGTATCTCTTTATGGTTTTAAATATGACTAATGATGTTAAGCATCTCTCAAGTGCTTGCTGGTGAAGTGTGTATTAAAGTTCTTCATTAGTTTTTAGATTGGATTGTCTTTGTTGTGGAATTGTAAAAGTTATTTATACATTCTGGATAACAGACACTTCTGAAGAATCTACTGTGCAGATTTTTTCTTCCATTCTGTGGGTTACTGGAACATAATAAGAGTTCGTGTGTGGTCTCTGCCCCAGTGTCCTGAGGCAGAGCGCTAAGCCTTTGTAATGTATGAAGTGATGTGTCTTTGTGTGCTAATGAGATGACTGATGGCTAGGGCACCTGAACAGCCTCAGTGGGGCTGGTTGCCAAAGGAACCAACCTTGCCATTAGAGGATTTGAAATTTCAGCCTCCCTCCCATCTCTGTGAAAGTTAGAGGTGCTGATGGTTGAGTTGAATACCTAAAGGCCCTGTTGGGAACGTGCTAACACGGTGGTCCACAAGCTTTTTGGCACCAGGGACCGGTTTTCTGGAAGACAGTTTTTCTATGGCCAAGGGTGGGGTGCATGGATTTGGGATGATTCAAACACATTACGTTTATTGTACATTTATTATGATTACACTGTAATATGTAATGAAATAATGATTTCAGATTGTCTTCCTGCAACTGGATGGTCCCATCTGGGGGTGATGGGAGACAGTGACGGATCATCAGACATTAGATTCTCATAAGGAGCATGCAGCCCAGATCCCCCGCTTGCGCAGCTCACAATAGGGTTCGTGCTTCTATGAGAATCTAATGCCACTGCTGATCTGTCAGGAGGCAGAGTTCAAGTGGTGATGCGTGTGATGGGGAGTGGCTGTAAACACAGGTGACACAGTGCTTGCCAGTCCTCCTCTCACCTCCTGCTGTACAGTCCAGTTCCTGAGAGGCTGCAGACTGGTACCAGTCTGTGAGCTGGGCATTGGGGACACCTGCTCTAACAGACCAGGTCCTTGTCCTCATGCAGAAAACCAAGATGATAAGCATGACAGCAGTTTGGTCAAGCTAGAAAAAAGCATCATTGCAAGCTGGGCACGGTGACTCATGCCTGTAATCCCAGCACTTTGGGAGGCCGAGGTGAGTGGATCATGAGGTCAGGAGTTCGATACCAGCCTGGCCAAAGTAAAATACAAGTCTTAGCCAGGTGTGACAGCGTGCACTATAATCCCAGCTACTCAGGAGGCTGAGGCAGGAGAATCACTTGAACCCAGGTGGCGCAGGTTGCAGTAAGCCAAGATCATGCCACTGCACTCCAGCCTGGGCTGCAGAGCGAGCATCCATCTCATAATGAGACTCGCCAAACTCAAGTTACCTGGGCTTGCCCCTCCACCCCATCATTCTGTCACCCCACGGACCAAGCCACCCTCCCTCTTGTTGTACTGAAGAACCTGGGCAAACTGTGTATTTGAAAAACACTCACCTAGTGGTAAAAAGCTAGCCTATGGCATTGGCCTGCCCAGGTCCAAATCCCAGCCCCAGCACTGACTAGCTGGTTGATTCTAACAAGTAGATCATCTCTCTCAGCCTCCATGTTTCCATCTGCAAAGTGGGCACATCAATCGTCACAGCAGCTGATTGTGAGAATGGCTTTAGTGGATCTGGGCTGAGCCATGAGAGCTTTGATTTTTAGAAAATCCTTCGGGAGATTCTAACTATGTGTTAAGGATCAAGAACCACTAGTCTAATTACTCTTGTCACAGTGAAATATTTATTACTGATGATAATGGTTATAATTATTATAGTTATATAATTAAAAGTAAATATATAATATATATTCTAATAAGTATTTGCTATTATTTGAGACGGAGTCTCGCTCTGTCTTCCCCGCTGCAGTGCAGTGAGTGGTGCAATCTCGGCTCACTGCAACCTCCCAGATTTAAGCAATTCTCCTGCCTTAGCCTCTCGTGTAGCTGTGATTACAGGTGCCTGCCACCACACCTGGCTAATTTTCATAGTTTTTGGTAGAGATGGGGTTTTGCCATGTTGGCCAGGCTGGTCTGAAACTCCTGACCTCAAGTGATCCTCCCACCTGGCTTCCCAAAGTGCGGGGATTCCAGGCATGAGAATCTGCACCACCCCTCAAGTGGAAGTCAGCGGGAGCCCCATGCAGCATGTGCCCGGCCACAGTGAAATTAATAACACCCCCTCCACTCTCCGGGAAGACTGGGATTAGATGATAATTTATATCAGAACTTTATTAACTTTTTCATAAATGACCAGATTGTGTGTATTTTAGGCTAGCGGGCCAGACAGTTTCTGTCACAACTGCTCAAAACATGAAATATAGAAATGAATGGATTTGGCTGTGTTCCAATAAAACTTTATTGATAAGAGTAGGCAGTAGGCAGGATTTGGTCTCTGAGGCATGGTTTGCCTTCCCCTGGATTGTTAGCCATGGGACATGGAAAGAACAAGACCCCTGCAGGGTCACACACAAGCCAGTGAATAGCAGGACGGTTTGTTCAATGGGAGAGGTTTCCTGCTGCAGCTTCTGCCTCTGGCCTCTCCAATGCAGAGGCTGGCCAGGTCAGGGGTCTCCTGTAACTGGCCTCTTGTGCCCCACAGCTGCCAGGAATGATTGCATCATGATACACGGTGCTACCTTTGCCTGCTTCCAGGAAAGCCCTCCCTGCTTCCACAGGTACAGAATGACACCCATGGAAACCAGCCTCGTGTTTTTAGGGAGAAGCTGCATGGGGCTCCCGCTGACTTCCACTTGAGGGGTGGTGCAGGTTTCCAGCCTGGGATGTGAGGGTGGGTTAGGTTGGGCCAGGGCTCTGCCAGGAAGGTTCCCAGGATGCTCCTGTACCTCCTGCAGGTAGGGACCTGTACAGCATAGATCTGCACCTCCTGCAGATGGGGACAATGGCATCTGAGTGTCCCACATCAGGAGGGGACACCCCTCTTCTCCCAGGCTGGCCAAGATGTTGCCAAGGTGAGGCTGGCTGAGGAGCTCCATGGTTCAGCCTCATCAGCTTTGCTAAATTCTGTGCCCCATATATCAGTCCCAGATCATTATCATCGATAGCCCCCAGCTCTATGGCTTGGTCTTTGTGGCCTAAAATCTCAGCCAGCCCTGAAACTCCACAAGAAGGGAGAGAATGTGTCCTGGGCCGGATTTGGATTGGTTGTCATTCACTCACTTCATTGATGGAGTACTAGCTATGGGCCATGCTCTGTTCTGGGTACTGGGGATTGGGTGAAAGAAACAGACAAGGGCCCAGCTCTCTTGGGGTGATGTG